AAACACAGAAATAGAAACAAGCATAAGAAATCAATAAAGAACAAAAAGGAAGAGAAAACAAATATATAAAAAAGCGAATACAAAAACAAAAAAAAAGGAGGGAAAGAGGGAAAAAAACAAGAGCAAACAAATAAAAAAAAGACAAGAAACAAAAACAACAACAACAAAAAACGAGAGAAGAAAAAAAGAGAGAAAAACAGAACAATAACTTACAAAAACCAAGAGAAGAAACAAGCCAAAACAAAACGAAACAAAACAAAAAACAAAACGAAAGAAAAAGAGAAAAACAGAACAATAACTTAAAAAAAAAAACACAGGAGAGAGGCACTTGGGCAGACGCCCTCCAGGCCACGCGCGCATAACGGATGTTTACACGCAACTTTCGCAAACTCGTTGACGAATAAACATATTTAAGGCCTTTGCTGTGTGGAGGTGTGTTTCGTATATCGGTGTCATCGTTGCAACTGCCTGTTTTATGCCGTTACAGGATGTAGGTCTATCCTTATTCACGTGTGTACACAGTGAGAGAGAAAATGATAAACAGATAACTATGCATACGCACGCGTACGCACATGCACATCATGAACACGTACACGTTCATGCACATGCACACTCACACGTACATGCACATGCACACGCACACGTACATGCACATGCACATGTACACGCACACGTACATGCACATGCACATGTACACGCACACGTACATGCACATGCACATGTACACGCACACGTACATGCACATGCACATGTACACGCACACGTACATGCACATACACACGTACATACACATGCACAAGCGGATATCGCCACAAGCAACTGACCCTTTCACCTGCGGAGACTTAACACTGTAAACACCTGAGGCAACAGAGAGGGGGGGAGAGGAAGAGAGAGGAGGGGAGGGAGCGAGAGAGAAGGAGAGAGAGAGAGAGAGAGAGAGCGAGAGAGAGAGAGAGAGAACAAGACAGAGAGAGAAGAGAGAGAGAGGGGGGGGGAGAGAAAGAGTTTTAATTTTAATATTTAAAGTTTTGAGGTCACCAGTATGATAGTGATACGGATGTTGATGTCAACAATACTAATAGTGAAGACCGTGATAACGATAATAACGATGAAGATAGTAATAATGGTAATGATAGTGACATTAATGATTATGGTGATAGTCATAGTGATAATGATAATAATTATGATAATTATGGTGTTAGTCATAAGAATAGTAATAGTAATAGCATTACTACCACTACTACTACTACTATTGATTATAATAATAATGATAACGATAAAATATAGTAATATTAGCATCAACAATAATAGTCATAACAGGAATAATAATCCTACTAATTTTGTTAATAAGGATGATAATGATCCTACTAATAATAATAATATTAGGGATAATGACAATAATAACCTTTATGATATTAATATTGATGACAACAATAGCGAAACAGTATTAGTCCACATAATTACCATAATAATAATAATAATAATAATAATAATAAGTATTAAGCCACATAATTACCATAATAATGATAATAATGATAATGATAATGATAATGATGATAGTAATAATAATGATAATAATAATAATAATAATAATAATGATAATAATAATAATGATGATGATAATAATAATAATGATAATAATAATTACCATAATAATAATAATAATAATAATAATACAGCTTATAATATCAACAACTGACATTCCATTTTCTTCCTTCCAGGTCGCCCCACCCCCCCCCTCCTTCGAACCCTCTCCCTCTCCCCCACTCTTGCCCCTCCCTCCCCCCCTTCCCACCTCTTTTCCTTTGCAACTCCCTCCTCCCCTCCCCCCTCGCCCCTCCCCCCTCCAACGGCGATTGGTGGGCGTCGAGGCAGAGTCGTGGGCGTGACGTGGGCGTGATGACGAGGCAGCGGCCGGCCGGGTGGTGGGCGGAGGCGGTGCTCTTGGCGGCGGTGGCGCTGGTGAGCGTGTCCGTGACCACGCCCCTCGCCGCGGCTGCGATGTGTGAGTTGCTTTCTTTGGTTCTGCATTTTTTCTTTGTTTTTGTATGTTTTTTGTTTTATTTTCTTTGTTTAAAAAAAATCTTTGTGATTATTGGGTTTATTTAATTTCTCTTTTCTTTTCTTTCTTTCTTTTTTTATTTATGTTTTATATTCTCTCATTATTAATTATTCCTCTTTGTTTCCCTTATTTGCTATTTTTTTTGTGTATTTCGTTTATCATACTTCATTATATTTTATACTATCTTTTTTTGTTTTATTTTTTGTCAGAAATTAAAATTTAGAAGAGAGAGAGAGAGAGAGAGAGAGAGAGAGAGAGAGAGAGAGAGAGAGAGAAGAGAGAGAGAGAGAGAGAGAGAGAGAGAGAGAGAGAGAGAGAGAGAGAGAGAGAGAGAGAGAGAGAGAGAGAGAGAGAGAGAAAGCAAGAGAGAGAAAGAGAGGGAGAGGGAGATATGGTGAGAGAGAGGGAGGGAGAGAGATGGGGAAGGAGAGGGAGGGA